GGGGCCTACAGGAAAGATGGGGAGGGACTCTTTATCAGGGAATATAGTGATAGGACAAGGGTTAATGGTTTTAAATTGAAAGAGGGTTGATTTAGATTGGATATAAGGAAGAAATTCTTTACTGTGAGGGTGGTGAGGCACTGGAACAGGCTGCCCAGAGAAGCTGTGGATGCCCCCTCCCTGGAAGTGTTCAAGGCCAGGTTGGATGGGGCTTTGAGCAACTTGGTGTTTGTGTTGAGGCTGGGAGAAAGATACACCACTTTACAAATAAGATCCTACTTTGGCAGGTATTAAGCTGCTGTTTCAGATCAGCTTCTGACACAAGTTTTGAATCCACTTGTCACTTGACCTAATTGTGTATGCAGAATAATTTTCTAAACTTTAGTCTTGCTACTTAAGGCAATCTAGTAGGAAAAGGTTTACTAGATGGTGCTTTTACAAAGGGCTTTCTGAAACAAAAGCCTTTTATGCACTTACATATAAAAAGCTATGACTTTTTCCAATTTTATGCTTACTGGGCTAGAAGAGAGGCAAGGCAACCATAGACTGAAGGGGTATACATATTTCCATTCTGATTGGATACGAGTAATGAAGCTTTGGTTTTCTGATTGAAGAGCTCTGCACTGGCTTTCATAAAAGCTTTTTCCACATCTCTGTCAAAATATGTATCTTCAAGTTTTACATCCCTATTAAAAAAAAGTTCAGGAACAGTTACTAGAATGGCAGCAAGGAAAAACACCTTGGATGTTTAACAAATTAAGACTATCTGAATAAGGAAGACAGCAGCCATTCTCACCTGAAAGCTTCCAAACCACTGAAAACACCATTTGCTGTTTCTAGGTTCTGGTCACCAAGAAAGTCATTCAGCAATAGTCTAGCCACAGATTTCTGTACCAGTTTACAGTAGGGAGAATGAAAGATCATGAATCCAAAGTCATTCAAGGTGAAATGTCTATCTGTCCCCTCTGGAAGTAGCAGAAGTGTTGTGTTACAACTTATGTTTAGTACTCACTTCAAGTACTAAAATAAAATAGGGGGATGGCAGGATATCAGTCATCATAACACATCAGCATACAAAAGACAACTGTAAGACTAACTATTGCTGCAAGTTCATTTAACACACTACTGTTTCTTACTGATCTTGTGCACCATCTAGCAATGTTTGCCCTTCTTCTAGAAGAAAAAAAGTTAAGCTTAACAGAATCTTGGTATTTCTACAAAGCATTTTGAAATAAGAAATAGTTTACTTCGTCTATCTAATCTTCAAAGCTATGGTTCTTAATATGGATGAAGCAATTACTAAACATATGGGGGTAAAAAAAGAATTAGTATCCTTATGCAACATGTAAATATTAACCTCTATATCTTAAGAGCCTTGGTAGAGAAGGTAATAACACACTTTTAAGATATATACATTACACCAACAAAAGCTTGTAGAGACTACTGCTTATTGGCTATCAGGTACTTAGCCATACCAGAACAGAAATAAAACATTTCTTTATGGGAGAGAATAAACATTTCAACTGTCTCAGAACACACAAACACAAAGAAAGGGACCACGTGCTAGCCTTTAGATTGGATGCTAAAACTTGAAAATACATTGTCTGTGTAGCTACATGTTCCAGTACATACCCTTTTGCCACTGGGCGTGGATTTTGTTGCGATAGACAGTATAGCAGCGATCTAATGCACTGAGGTAGCACTGTATAGATAGTTTGCCATCAACTACTGGATATTCAGAGACCATATCTGGTTTATAGAAGTCGTACGCGTGTTGCATGTGGGTTCCGCGCAACCCTGATGGACAGAAATTGACAGAAGTTGAAAATTACTTTATTCAGCTGCTTTGAGTCAATTTGAATACATCACTTAACACGTGTGGGGAAACAAGCAATATTTGGCCCCAGTCAAGCAGGTTTTCATAGCACTTCAGACCCTTTAAGGTAACGTTTCACACAGTTCTCAATGGCCTGTTAAGTAAGGTAGGACTGAGAGTGACAAACACAATTAAATTATTTTCATCATTTCGCCTTGGAAGTAGAGCACTGTGTTATTCAGCTCTAGTCCACTCTTTGTCAATTTTATTGGAGAATCCCCAAGCAAATAAACAGATAGGAGCATCTCCAGCTGTTCCTTGCTGCCTCCCATAACGGGACTTGGCTAAGATAGCCCAGAGCAAGAGGAGAAAAAGTACAATTTCTGACATTAGTGGGAGTTAATCCAGCCCTCCAGCAACCCACAAAAAACAGGGGACAGGCTTCACAACAGATCCAGTTATCTGGCTGAACAGTATTTCATTTTCTCACAGGACTAACCTCTCTCAAATATTAACGGAGCATTTGGACCAACTAGCATAGCAACCGCACCAGCTCCACCTGTTGGCCTGGCGTTCCCAGTGGCATACACAGCTATGTCTCCAGCAACAACAAGCGCGTAGCGTCCTGTCAAAAACACACAGAAATAACCATGAGAAATAGCCAAGAATCTAGCCCATTTTAATATCCATCCGCAACTTCTAGACTTTGGTTATAGCGGAGATGACCCCAAGATTAAGGGGATCTTCAATCCTGAATTTTCCCCCACATTTCAATATCCTGGCAGCCACCGCAATTTACAGGAAAAGACCAGTGATTATTAGCCACATCTTTACCTTTTGCACTGTAATTGAACTAGTGGCAAATACCCAGAGCATTTAAAAAAAAGACTTCAGAAGAGAAAAATAGTTTACCCTCTGAGTTTTATACAGCTAAACATGAACGCTGTCGTTATAAGGCAGACTACTCAAAACCAGAGGATGATGCAACTTTTCAAGAAAATACCCTGAACTCACCATCCCAAGAGCTGGACTCGATCCAATTAATAGCATTAAAAAGAGCAGCGGTGCCTCCATAGCACGCATTGGTGGTGTCGATTCCTTCTACATCTGTATTACCAGATTCTTCAAAAAGCTGCATCAGAACAGTCTTCACAGATTTTGATTTATCGATGATCGTCTCCGTTCCAACTTCTAATCTCCCGATACAATCATAGGAAAGGCTGTTCCTCTCCATGAGCTTCTGAACCACAGTCAAGCAGAGAGAATTGATATCCTCCCGGTCTGAGCAGAACCCCATCTTTGACTGGCCTAGCCCAATGGTGTATTTCCCAGCATCCACACCATCATACTTCTCCAGCTCTGTCTGGTCAACATACTGAGAGGGAAAATATATTTCCAGTGCAACAATTCCCACATCTTTGGGCCAACAGGATTCAGCATTCACTGGAAGAGACCCAGGCATTGTGGTAGATCTTTAAGAAAAAAAGAAAACCACAAAAACAGCTGATTTATTCACATCCATTTTGAGAGACCTAGTTTCATCTTCTGTAGCTTTATAGAAAAAGTTAAGTTGCAGGTATTCTACAACGTCATTTGCAAAAGGCAAGCCTTTGCCTCAGGGGAGACTTCGGTCTGAGCATACTGTAAACATCAACATAAAATGTTACAAAGCTTCTAGTAAGAAGTACTCTCAAGTGAAAACACAAATTTCAGCCCTGGAGACGAACAGATGTCACTTATGCCCAAGTTATGTCACTGAAGCAAAACACAGGCTTAGCAAGCGTTCAGTGTCTGAGAAATTAGTCTTCATGTCCATTATTCTACTTTTGCTTATACGCAAACTCTCAATTTTACACAGCCAAGCTAGAAACATTGGATTATTTTTTTTTAAATGTTGGTAGTTGAGCACTTAAGTTTAAAATTTATCCTTACCAGGAAATCTCTGCCTTAGAACACACCAGGACTTTTCAAAATTGTTTTTACTGTTAAATCAAGTGATCCAAGTTGCTCTATTTTGTTTATACTTTTAAGAAAGACAGCAGAAATTTTTTTGGTGTGGCAGGGGTTTTTGTATTTTTGGTTGGTTCTGTTTGTTTGTTTGTTTTAAGCCTACTCTGTTTTGGCATTCCGGAACACTGGAATTCCTAACGCCAGGCCTGGAGGAATATTTCACAGGCTGAGATGAACACACAGGGGTTCTCCCTGAGAGACCCAGTTTTCTTATTTTAACCCCACAACTTCATTGTCACTGCATTCGAGGGTGTACTACACTGTAGCATATACGACGCCCTATTACTTCAACCCTGTCCCTATTACCCAGACAGGCACCATCCGCCTGTACTTCTGCTTACACCCTTACAGAGCACTTCTCCCTTTTGTGCCCAGCTGCAAGTACCATCACAACTTCTTCCATAAAGCCACGGACGACGGGATAACGCCTTCCTCCGCAGGAATGACGACTTTACAGGATGCATATTCAGACAAGCGTTATAGGAAAGCATTAAGAGTGTTTTCTGTTACAGGCACAGCCTAAGGTAAGACCGAAGGTAAGAGCGCACGGCTCGCCACTCGTTTTGATTGCCTCTCACAAAGTTTCAACCACGTCTATGATGGACGTAAGATAAGCTTTTTAAGTATTTCTCTTGTAGCCTTTACTGATATTAAAACGCATAAAGGGGGAAAAAAAAGGCGGCTCCAAGGC